GAATGATATAGAAATATGCTTTTATATTATTCATTCATTAAATTTTGATGTGACACAATGTGGTTGATAGAAAGTGCTATTTAAGCAATATGCCTGAAAACTAGTTTGTTATATATTAACTGTGACTTGTGCTCAAATGAAAAAGATTGCATCTCTGCACAGATCAACACTATTTTTCAAGGTGTTTGTTTGATAGAATACAGCAATTTTTATTATTCATCAAAAATTGCATAGAAGTCTTTGAAACTTCCAGTTTAAGAATATATTAATAGCACTGCACATTCAGCATAGGATTATGTGGTTTAAACAACTATGTAAAATATACAAGATATGTTTATAGCTGCTCATTTGTTTCTTCATGACCATAATCAAGGTCTACTATATCAAATAACTGTACTTTACATATCGCTGACTCTAAGTTTTCTAATGGGCATAGATTTTTCTGAGAAATGGCATAGAAATTGTAAAACCTTGGCCACAGAATACACATGTGCATGCTGTAGTGGAAAATTTGGTTGTGTTCTATACCAAGAATATGTATTATTATAGGAAGATTATTTTTATCTGATAGCTTCAATTATCTGAATCAAAATAAAATATATTTAAAAAACACTAGAAATTATAGTGAATTTCTTGGAAAGGAATGTTCACTTGCTGAATATCAAGTAAACAATCCTATTTTATTCTAGTTTTTCATTTGAGTATTCTGTAGTGAGGTCACAATCCAAAGATTTTAGTCCACTTCTTCTTGTTCTTTACATCTCTGAGTAAGTGCTAACTGTGAAATTACTCCTCTTTGGGTTTTGTTTGTTTGTTTGTTTTTGCTTTTTGGGTCACACCCAGCGATGTACAGGGGTTATCCCTAGCTCTGCACTCAGGAATTACCCACGGTGATGCACAGGGGTTATCCCTGGCTCTGCACTCAGGAATTACCCCTGGCAGTGCTCAGAGGACTATATGAGATGCTGGGGATCGAACCTGGACTGACCTATGCTGGGCATGCAAGGCATGCTGTTGCTCCAGCCCCTAAATTATTCCTCTTTGAAGATAACTTTTGTTAATCCTACTTAGTAGGCTGAGTACATGCTTTCATGCAGGCGGCCTGAGTTTCATCCTTGGCACTCCGTATGATCTCCCCAGCACTATTGTGAGTGACCCCTGAATACAGAGACAGGAATAGTACTTTATCACAGCTAGATGTGGCTCAAAAACCGATAAAAAGAAAAAATGGATATGTTAAATCTATGTTAGAAATTATTCATTAGGATTCAAAGGTAACATAGCCTATGTGGTCAAAATTAGAAATTTTAGGGGAGGGAGTAGCGACACCAACCAGTGCTCAGGATCTTATTTCTGGCTCTGCACTCAGGGATCACTCCTGGTGGTGCTCTGGGGACCATGTGGGATGCCTGTGATTGAACTTGGTTCAGCAATGTGCAAGGCAAGTGGTGTACTGCTATTCTGACCCCCAATATTAAGGTATTTTAAATAATTCAAAGCATTATTTAAAAATTACCCAACATACACATGGAAAGACTCTACACATGGCTATTCTTCTTGTAGCATTCCAGGTCCCTTTATTGCACTTTCATTTGAGACAGGGTATAAAATTTCCATACTATACACATGGTTAACCTTCACTGTGACTAAACTACTCTCTTATAAACCCTGTCTGTCAACTAACTGAACCTACAATTCAGTAAACACAGAATTGCCTTCATGAGTTGAAATAATAAAGCCAGGGGTACTGAAACGATAGCACAGTGGGTGGCGCATTTGCCTTGCATGGAGCCTACTTGGGTTCGATTCACAGCATCCCACATGGTCCCCCAGCACTGCCAAGAGTAATTCCTGAGTGCAGAACCAGGAGTAACCCCATGTGCATCACCGGGTGTGATCCCCCAAAACTAAATAATAATAATAAAATCAGGTAAATGGAAGAAAGTACCAGATTCTGTAATATGAAGTAATTTAGTATTCTTCAGAAGTCATTTTTTAAAGTGAAAAAAAGAGAATTTTTTTGAGGGGGGTGGGGGATGGGTAGTGCCACTGTGATGCTCAGGCTTTCCTTCAGGCTCTGTGCTCAGGGATCACTTCTGGTAATTCTGTGGGATTCCCTCTTCCAAGCCAGGGATTTAACCAGCTTGGCTAAGTATAAGGCAAATACCCTACTCAATTTATTATGGCTCCAGGTATTCAAAAGGCGTATGTGAATCTAGAATCTCAAGACTAATGTAATATTGTACGAAAGGTACTATTATTACTATAGTAACAATATATTTTACACCAATAAACGTTTTTAGATCAAGAAATTTGATCTGAGATCTAAAGCAATGACACTATATTCATAAAAGGTTTATCTTATTATCTGTACATTAGATCAATTCTTTTTTATTATAACCTGTTTGATACTAGACCATTCAGATTAGAGAAAGTTAATTAATTCAGGAGAAAAGTATCTATTTGTCTCAGTGTAATAGATTTACAGTTAAGTTTATATAAACCCTATATTTAAATTTCATAAACATCTTCAGGCAGATTCTGAATATGGCTTTTCCATGGGTGAAATTTTTACTGGCATTTGAAAGACATTTTACTGGTATGGCAATAATTGGATTACATATAGACAACACAATTTCCTGTCCAGATAAATTAGACACTGATGAAAAACAGCACTACAGGACACTTAGCCATAGCTTACATTGTTCAATTATCCTTGACTGCTTTTCATCGGAGAAATCACAAGCTATAGTGGCATTGACAGATATGGGTATTTGTCTTCCAACATGCTTCTCACAGATGTCAGGAGCCCACTGAATATAAAAACATTACAGACTTCATTTTAGCCGTCAAAATGCAAAAGGAAAATCTGAATTTAAGACAGAAAATGAAGCAACAAAAGGAAAGTGAGACACAGAACACAGTAGCAGTCAATGGTGTTCTCTACTGAATTTCTAAGAAACAGAAGCTTTGTATAAAAACAAAATTCTCACTTGTGTAGCTACTTTGTCATTCTTGTTTAATTTAATGAAAAGATGAATTAAAATCTATAGTTTGATTTTCAATGATAGATTGCTTCAAAATTGAAGTTGTTTGTGTAAAAATCCTATGTCAGAATTCTAATTAGACTTTTTTAAAAGGAAAATACCTAAATATACATGAGTCCTATCGACCTTATCTCAATTCCATGTCTGATTGATTGTGCTGGGTATCTTGCGATTATTCTCAGAAAGTAGTTGCATTTGGAAAATATGTGCTATCTGAATCTCTTACAAAAATAACTGTCATTTATTTTTTTCCCATTTGGGGGGGTTAAAGGGACTTCCAAAATAACAGTTATCCATCCATCAGTTATGGCAATACTTCACCAACCAAAAACTGAAAGTTTCAATGCCAGAGCCTAAATGCCAGATTCTAAGTATGTGAAGCTGTTCAAGTCCTATGGTATGAACTCCAGCCCAGAATCATGTCCAGTAGCATGTAGAGGCCTTCAGAATTATACTCAGGGATTCATACTGGGGCTGGGGGAGATTAGGAGGGAAGGGCACATGCTTCTAGTGACTGAACTCAGGTTCTCATACATATGATAATACTGCCTGACCACTGAGCAATATTTTTCTTGATAATTGATCTGAAAGAATCATTTGTACAGATACATTACTTGTACAGAAACACCTCAATAAGTAACCTTGAAGAAACTGTGGTGGAAAAAAAATAAAAGAACTTTTAGGTAGTTATCAAGATCAAACAAATTTCAGGTTGAAAATAAAATGCATCATTCCAACAATAACAAAGGTATTAGAAAAGAGATAGAGAAACTATAAAGAGAATCTAAGAGATATTATGAAAATATTATGAAGAATGAATTCAGAATCATAAGAATTCCAGTGGGAAAGAAAAAAAGAAAAGGAAGATTGTCCAGTTGAAAAAACATATCATACAGTTTCCACAACCTGAAGAAGACTAGTAAACTGATATGTTAAGCCGAAAACCTATATAGAGCAACACAAAGATACACTTTGATCAAAATGACAAGAATAAAAGACAGAGACTCCTAAAAATGGCAAGAGAGAACTAAAAACTCATATACATCACATTTCTCAGATGAAACTATAAGCAAGAAACAAATGGAATGATATGTAGGAAGTATTGAATAAAAACTTAATTAAAAGTACTTTACCACACAAGATTGTCCCTCAGATTTGAAGTAGTCATAATAACATTCTCAGCTAACCAAGAACTTAGAGCATTTGTCACATCTAAACCAGCTCTGAGGTTATTTAGTCTGAGTAACCTCATACAAAAAACAAAGGTTAACAAAGGCAACCAAAATTCTCATAAAAAATGACAACAAATTATTCCTGTCAATAATTTCTCTAAATGTTAATGGACTTAACTCTCCCATTCAAAGACACTGAGTGTCTGGGTGGATAAAGGGATAAAATCCAGCCTTCTGCTGCCTACAGATGACATGAACCTCACAATAAAAATGGGCTCAGAATGAAAGATTTCAAAATGTCATTTTGTTAATGGTAGACTGAAAAAAGCAAGGGTGATTGTTCTTGCATCAGACCAAATGTTATTCAGGCTAATGAAAATAATGGGAAATAGGAAGACCATTGCATACTGGTCAAGGGATATAGAGATCAAAAGGAACTAACTCTTCTTTACATATGCTCCAAATTAAGAGGAACACAGTATAACATACAACTGCAAACAGACTTGAGGTGAGACATCTATAGCAACACAATAGAAGTGGAAGACTTTCAACAATCATTCTCACTATTTGATAGATAAATTTGTCCAAACATCAATAAGGAAGCTAGATTTCAAAATGAAGGATTGTAAGTACTGCACTAATAGACATTACATGATCCTCCAACCCCACAAATCACCATCTGTCGAGTCTATATGGAATAGTTTCTGTGATAGACCACATGTGGGGGCACAGTTGAATTACCCTAAAGTTACAAAGAGAAATATTATCAAGTATCTTTTCAAGACTTACCTGGCAAGGGAGATAACACAATCATAAGGGTGGGTTTTCTAGGGCAAGGTTATGCGTTATACTCCAAACGTGCTATCCCTGCATTTTCCCCAAATATGGGAAACTTGAATGAATAATTTGTGATAGTAGGGGACTACATTCATAGTCTCTTGGATGGAATGGTGGGTACACGGGAACCACAATATTTTCATATTGGTAAACAAATTATTGCTAATAAAAGTAAGTATATGAAATCATTATCACCTATCAAGTTATTTAATCTATGTGGGGTTATTACTAACTGAAAATTCAGCTATAATTAGACTTTTGCACATATGAACCATTTTAGAGATAGCTATAAAATGAGTTTTGTAAGTTAATTTAAAAGCATTTATAATTTTAGAATTAAAAACTCCAAATTTGGAAAATCTACCTATAAAATAATCATAAATGATTTCCTCAGTGTTTGTTATAATGGTCATGGAATGATGTTATGAGATGAGTGCGAGTTTAGAATATTAGAGTAGGAAGGTAATTCTCAGTAGGTGGGAAAAGGTAAAACAGGAGTGCATTCAAGCAGAGTAGCTTAAGCAGTTGTTAATATATATAAAAGACTAATTTGGGAGCATGAAAAAATGTTACTATTATAATTAAGTAGAAATCAGGGTAATTTATTATTTTATGTCACACTTATCTTTAAAATAAATGCATACATGTACATGTACAATACACATATTTATATATAAGACATTATAATAAAATAGCCACCAAACAAAGTACAAGATAACTATTAATCCTTTTACTCTGTTTTCCAATTAAAATAATCTTATGTTACAGTAATAACTCGATGTTAAGAAAGCACTAAACATAAGACAATAAGACAATATTTTGTTTGCACCTATATTGTTAGTTATTTTTTTCAATAGAAAGGTTTATTGGAAAATAGAAGAGAAAGAAACTCCCCAGCAGGAGAGGAACATAGTAAAGAACTATGTTGTCAAATTTTTATTTTCATTAAAATTTTTTTATTGTTTTTTTGTTTGGGGGCTATACATAACTGTGCTCAGGAATTTCTTCCTGCTCTCCACATTGGGATGACTCTTGACTGGGCAAAGAGGAATCACCTGTGGTGCCAGGGACTGAATAAGGATCTGCTGTATGCAAGGCAACCACCTTCACTCATGGTACTAAGACTCATTTCTCTATGTCCTTTAATTTTATATAGCTTTAAAAGATTCTCACATTTTCAAAATTCAAAACTCTTTTTCTCAGTGCATATGAAACAAATAACCTTCAATTAAACCTCCAGGTGTTTCACTTAGTATATATGGAATACAAGTGTATCTTCTATTTTAATGATGTTACTTTGGAGACACATATTGTTTCTGAATCAAGTGACTATTCCTCTTGAATAATGAATCTCTAGAAAGGGAATTTCAATGAAGTCTAGTTAACCACTTAGTTTATTCCAAAGTATATTCACTATAGTTGAATTATATTGGTTAATTTCCTTCTAGTATTAGGGTAATGTATTTGTTGGCATAATTAAAATTAATTCCCACCTTCTAATTGACTCCATATACTGCTATGTTTTAGCATTGTTTCAAAGTCTCTTGTTCTCCAACTAGAATTTTTGCTAAATAACTGACATATTAATAAGGTTGTCTAAGAATTATTTGAGTATGTGAGAAAAAGTGCCCCCTTAAATATTGCAATATGAGCATATTCCTTGCCTCTCCCTTCCAAAAAGATATTCTTCATCAACAGATCGTTGTTCCCCAGATGATTCAGTGATTATCTGTTCTGTGGCTCAATCATCAAATACCAGGTATAGTGGAAAGGAGACCACGGCACAGGCAGACACTTCCTAAGAGCATAGAACGGGAAGTTGCATACATTTAATCACAAGTCATACCACTGGACCTAAAACTAAGGAATTCTGGCAAATGTGATTAACTGTGTGCCCAGAAAGTGGCATTTTGGTGACAACAGTCTGTTATTATACTTGCAGTTGTGCTGAATTATGAAATAACACAGATGAATAGTTCAACTCCCAGTAGATTTCAAAGAATTCACAGCTTCATAGGTCAGAGAAAACTAACTGCATATAATTATAATGGGGAAAATTCAATTCATGATTCTTTGTAATGCTCTCCTGTAGAACAATATCTAAAGCTTCAGGATTTAATCTATATTTAGACAGTACTCTTTGTTCATTTATTCCTTCACTCAGCATTCTCCTCACATTGACTAGTCTGCTTTACTGATTTAGAGAACATGAGGAAAGGATTGAGATAAACGAACTTATATGCAGGCACACATAATATCCAATAGCAAGTAAACTAGACTCACAATCCTAATTAATAATGAGGGCTGTATCTTCACAAAAATTGGAAATAATGTAATGGTTAAATTATACTACAATGATCTTAATGCAATGATTAAACATAAATAGAGTCACCATGAAAATGTAAAACCTTGAGTTTTAAGACTCATAATGGGAGCTAACATTTTAAACCTGAGGAGCAATCAGAGTCTTTGAACCTTGTGTAATTCTAGCAGAGAGTTTTCCAAGGAATGAAAAATTCAACCAGAGGACTGCTCCTATAGCCTTGTGACACATTTTATGATGTTGAGGCTTTTTCATTTAACTATGTTTGGTTTCAAATATCACCCATAAACCTAAAAGCCCTCATTATTTAAATTCATAATTAGGTTCAAATTTTTTATAATTTATAGATTTCTTTAATTCTATTACTTCACACAATTACTTTTTTTGTTGTTTGTCTGGGGGCCACACCTTGTGGGGCTCAGGGTTTACTACTAAGAGGCTCAAGACACCAGAAATCAAATCCAGGTGAGCCACAGGCAAGACAAGCACCCTTCCACTGTACTACCACTCTGGGACCATAATTAATTTTTTAGATTTCATTTAATAGGCCTTTTCTTTTACCTCTATATAAAAAAGATGATTTTGCGGGGTAGAGTGAAGGTTGGTAACCCAGTGGTTCTCAGGATTTACTCTTATCTGTGCTCAAGGATCATAAACCTGGTATTAGGGGGGCTTTATGGAGTGCCAGTGATAGAACTTGGGTCATCTGAATGCCTAGTAAATACCCTACCTTTTTACTATCTCTGTGGCCCCTCAAATATTTTTAATGCCTTAATTTTACTATATATATGCATATATATTTCTGTAATTTGCTCATACTCTTCAAAATTGAGCTAATTTTTACAATCAACTTACAGAACCTGAGCCAATTGATGCAGTGCTGTGTTCTCAGCTAAATCCCATCAAACCTAAGAAACACATAATATCATTACTCCCAAGAGTGCTACATCTGAATGAACTCTTTCTTGAAATTTCACATTATCATCTGCCCAAAAGTTGAGACATAATAAACATATTTCTATATTAAATAAGAATCTTAAAAGAGTTAGATTTTTTTTTAATTTTAGAGTGGCTTAGGAATTTAGTTTGCTTCTATCACTATATCACTGTCATCTCATTGTTCATCGATTTCCTCAAGCAGGCATCAGAAATGTCTCTATTCATCCAAGCCCTGAGATTTTAGCAAGTGCCACGTTGGAGGCTCTTTCAGGGTCAGGGGAATGAGACCCATTGTTGTTACTGGGTTTTGGCATATAGAATATGCCACGGGGAGCTGACCAGACTCCGCCGTGTGGGCAGGATTTTCTCAGTAGCCTGCTGGGTTCTCCGAGAGCAAGAACTAGCCAATAAGAGGTCTTCCGGGAGCTTGGTTTTATAGTCTCTGGGTCTTGGCCGTTGATGGGATTACATGGTGCAGGTGGCAGTTGGTGGGTGTGATGGTCATACTACTGTAAGTTGGGGGATCTCGGTTGAGGAGGTCCAGTCCCGATTCGAGCAGCCTTGGAGATCTCAGCCCCGGGTTCCACAAACCTAGGTTCCTCTTCCAGTTCCTTCATGCGTAAGGCTCATCTGAGTGTCTGGAGAGTGATCTTGAGCATGGCTGTGGCTGGTTCTGGAGGTCTTCAGCTGCCAGGGCACTGCTGGGAGTGGGGAGGGAAACTCAACCCGCCTCCCTCCGAGGGGCCCCAGTGAGGACAGCCAGGTGCGGGGGCAGGAGATTCTGCATTGTTCTCTCCCGGGAGCTTGGTTTTATAGTCTCATGCTTAAGACCAGTTTTCTTCTATATTAGATAATTACAATAAGATGTGAGTGACTTGCTTTGAGAATGTATAGTGACAATTTTCTAAGATTTAAAGCAAAAACTGCAGGCTTGTAGAGATAGTACAGTGCATATGGTGCTTGCCTTGCACTTATCTGACTTAAGCTTGACACATGGGCCCCATATGGTCACCTGAGCACTGAACAAGGAGCAAACCCTGAGCACTGCCATATGTGGCCCCAAAACAACAACAACAAACCAAAATACTGCTATTTTAAGCAGTTCTTTTTTAAGAACAGCATGATTCCTGTTTTTAGAGTGAAGAAGTAGGGCATGCCATGACTTCACTAAGGATTTTATGCAAGGGACTGCTTCTGTGTTTGAGAACTTCAGCTCTATTTTTTAAATACCTACATTGTAATTCGGTTGTTCAGCGAGCACCACTTTTTTCTGTACTGTAATTAATTATCTTGGAACAGATTCGATTCATGGAATATCATCTGTGTAAATTTTTCAAAATAATATGTTACTAAGTTTTGTAGTAGGAAAGACATCCTGCCTAGAAATGACAAGAAATGGGGATTAACACAATTCAGCATAGTCAGAGGGCTAATTGGGATAATTACTTGCTGTTCCTTCCTTCTAATATTAGATATTATGTAACAAATTTTTATATATAATGCTCAGAGGCAATGGAAAATCTAAGAATGCAAGTGGTTTGGGATAAGGCAAGATCCTTTTCTGTCTATATAGCAGAGATATCAAGGGATGTGGCACAGAATTTATGCATTAGCTCAGGTATGGGAGAAAACTCACCTGAATTGAATATTTCATAATAAATTTCAAGTCTAACTCCATGGAAAGAGCATGTAAAGAACCTTGCTACTTAATTCCTGTGTTTATCCTGGATGAAGAGATCAGTCTGTGTTTCCATGTCTTAGTAAAGAGTTGGTATATCCCAGTAGTTCTAGCATCTGGTCAAACTTACAGGCTGAACACATAATAGAATTGGTAAATTAGGA